ACTGACTGACTGACTGACTGACTGACTGACTGACTGACTGACTGACTGACTGACTGACTGACTGACAGTGCAGCCGGGTGGGGTTGCTTGCAACAGGACGCGGAATCTGGTCACAAGGTTTACTTGCAAGTACAGCGTACATACATATGGCAACAACTGCCTGTATGAGATATCATTATCTCCATATCTGCATAATAATTTCCCTGTTCCAGTGCTGTCTGGTCCTTTTACAGGTCTGCTGATTGTTTGTTCATTCTTTCGGACCAATCCGCATTGATCTGCTGACTGTGCTTCCGGTGCGAGGTACGCCTTTGTCTCGCCACGTGCGGAGGACGAGCGTTCTCTCCTTTGTTTGGCCCACGTTTCAGATTATATGTGGTAGGCGAAAGCTTGCCCTTTTTCTCGTCACGTGTAAGGTTGCATGCAAGGGTTCCGTGTCGTGTTATCTTACCTTCTACATAGTCAGTCGTCCTTGACCGTTGCAGTGGGGGTGGTTAGCTAGCTTTTGGAAAGCGTCCTAACTTTATTTGACTTTTCAGAGGTATACGTCTAGGCGAAGGGCAATAAATCGATTCCCCCACTTGGTGCCTATTGAATTCCGTGCATTTTGCGTTCCCCCTGTTCATTGTTTGATGGACTGAATCATCAGGCGAATCTTAGAGGCAGGTAGCATTACAGTTGGGTACATTCGACTCAGTTATCTACTGTTAGCTGATGAATTCGTCGTGTTCGTTTCCTCCCATGCCACCTCCAGTGTCTGTCGGGTCGTTTCGTTGCTGTATGCGATGAGACTGGGATAAAGATCAGCCTACCGAAAGCTGAGGCCGGTGAAAAAATTTTTCATCCTCAGAGTAACATTTGCGAGTAATGATAATCAAAACCATGATATAGACTTATTGAATCAGTCAGGCGAGGACATTAATGCACGTGTTAAATTTGTCTACGATGATAAGCAGAAAGCTAAACAGAAGTGCGAACCTTTCTGCCTTCTGGTTTACTTACTAGTTTACTCTTATATGTAGTTATGAATTCTGGATATATGTCGAAAGTGTACAATCTCGGATCGGATGCACATAGCATATGCAAGTTTCACTGGAAAATTGTGAAGAGGCTCCGTGAAATTTGTTGTACGGCAATTTGAGAAACCCCCATTTATTTGTTGCTTCTTCAGATTGAGTGATCTTAATTGCAGTGACATGTTTACTTAATTAAAATTAGGGAAAGAAACTCGTAAGACAAACTCTCATTTCATTGCTACTTGGGATTTGGCAGTTATTTAAGCCTAAACGTATTTAACATTTAACGTTGTTGACATTTTCGAATCCTGTCCGTTTATTTAGCGTGACTGACCATGATCCATGGACCATCCGAAAAGCGCCCTATAGTTTCTGTCGCCGCTGCCTGGAAGAAATAATGACTTTGGAAATGAATTAATAAACTGATGTCATCTTAAGACAGTTTATAGTGACATTATCAACATATTGCGTGATCTGATGCAAAATTTGTTACAATTTTCTGTGCTTTTTTCTCATGTCTTAATGTATTTATGCAAATGCTTGTTTCCTCTAACAAACGGGGTTGTTTCTTGTTGTTGCTGAGATCATCACCATTAGCTGTTTGCAGAGCTACATCGTCTCTGGCTTATGATGTCTGCTGTTTTCACAGCTCCTCAGCACTTTTTTTCTGAGACACCAGTTGCTATATTGTATACTGAGGTATTCGTCTCCAAAAGCAAATCTACTTCTTCCTCGTTCCTCCGTGTTGCTGTTGGCCTCGTTGTCGACTTTTGTCGTGTTTCGACTGCCGCACGAGAAACTCCCGAGATGGAGTATATTTTATATGCTTGACCAGTTTCTCTAAGAGGGCCAACCTCCTTTTTTAATCTCTGCATTTACTGAGATAACAAGTGCCAGGGTGAGAATAAGAGTCAATCCTTACGTGGTCCTGCCATTTAAACCTCATTATGCCTCGAAACCAACGCTGCTGTACACGGTTCATCTGTTGTTCTTGCTCCTTCGTTACAGCAGCTGTGTCCGTTCGGTAGAACACCGACCTGTTAGAGGCAAGGTACTGGTGGGTTTTCGTACGAGAGTAACTACTTCCTCAGCCCAAATATTGGGCAGATTTCCAAAACCACTTTAGGCTGTTACGATCCTCATATATTGCTCTGGCTGGATAATTCCATCGTTGCAGATGATGGAGCCTAGATACTTAAACTGGTTACCCTCCTTCCTTTAAGCGTTTTACCTTCCCATTCTACTTTTGTATCGGCTGTGCAGGGTGGTTTCCTCATAACTGTTGACTTCCGGGCGATAAGGAACAGTCCAGCTTTTGCAACTGTGTTGCATGCGGAAGCTGTCATTTGACATGTCTCGCTTCCAATATTACTCACCAAGTGGTATGTTAGGTTAATGGACATGAAGTTTGAGTGATCCTTCGTGATACATTTCAACTGAATTCATTATTGTTGTTGTTATCGTGTACTCTCGAGTTGTTTGTGTGCGATGAAAGTGTTTATACCTCGTATGAATTCCTAGATAGAATGCATGTTTCATTCTTCTGTCAGGTAATTTTACGAAACCTCAGCAAGTTGTACGAGATAAATAAGCAGCAGACAATATGGATGACAAAAGGGAGGCTAATCGACTTCAACTGCTGATCTTTATTTTGAATACAGTTCGATGTCTTGTGCAAACATAAGCCACAGAAATTACAGTTATACTATGAATTGCTCTAAGTATGTTGATGCGGACTGCTCAGCATGATGATGGCAGCGAGTTTGATCCCTGATTCTCCTGAATATGAGTTCCAGCTGAAGTTAAGACGTAAGGAAAAAGGCAAAATTTTCGTAATAGCAACATCCTAACAGAGAAAGTGAGATAAACGTCATCTTCACTTGGTTTCTGCCAAATTTCTTAACAGTCTAGTAATCGCAGTTTTGACTACTTGGATATGGTGCTTCGCGCTATTGTATCAAATCAATAATTACGTTTATTGATTGCGTTTCTAGTCGCCATGATTAGTTTGGATGACGCTAACTTCAATGTTGAACATGGATATTTGGAAGGACTTGTTCGTGGATTTCGTGGTGGAATCTTGACCCCAGCCGATTACGCTAATCTGGTACAATGTGATACTCTAGAAGGTATGGTTTTTGTATTACGAAATATGCCTAAGCATGTGAACCTTTAGATCTGAAGCTTCATTTGCAGTCCACCGATTATGGAAATTTTCTGGCGAACGAAGCTGGTCCTGTAACCGTTAGCGTGATCGAAGAAAAGTTGAGGGACAAATTGGTGGTGGAGTTCCAGCATTTCAGAAATAATAGCATCAAACCGTTGTCGACATTTCTTGACTACATTACGTGAGCAGTTATTGTTGTTTTCCGTATTCTAAACTTACTATAGTCACAATGCCTTTTTAGTGTAGAGGAGCTGAAAGGATGAAATTTCTCGCCTACTGTTCCTTGCCGAAAATTTTTCAGCAATGGCTCCTGACTTTCTGATAATTTGTTTAGTGGTTTTCCAACAATGCTCTATTCCTAGTAGTGTAACGTGCTGAGCATCGATGAAACATTATGATGTGGGGTTCCAATCTTCGCTTTCTTGCTGCACAGCTGCAGGTAGTCAGTCAGTTTCTATAACCGCTTATCTTTTTGGCACCGTCAGAGGGGGTCTTCAACGTTCCCGATCCTGTGCCAGCGTCTGTGCTTCGACACGGAAACCTGAGTCTGTTATAGAGTCCGTCGAGGCACATGTCTCAAGAAGTTCTTTTCCATTCCCGGGCTCCTTGGCCAGTAGACTGGTCATAGCTGTTTCGCATTCTTTTCTGGAAGCTTTTTTTTAAAAAGTTAAACATCTGAGAGCAAGATTTTATCGATTTCAGCGGTCTTGCCATTTTTCAAGCTTTTTACAGTTTCTGCGACTGTGGTGGAAGATTAATGTCGGTTACCTGTTACTCTGCAGGCGAGTCTCCTTGCGCTTGGAATGGTTAAGAGGTTACTCAAAATACTCTTGACACTGACAGAGTATATCTTCTTCCTCAATAGGAAGGCGTCTAGACTTATCCTTCAGGACTGCTAGACTGCCTTTCCATCTCGGATATGGTGGGTCGTGGACCAAAAATGCTTCGTTTACAGTCTTTAAATTCGACCCCAGCACCTTACCGAAATTTTCATGAATCAGCTTTCGCTTTAACCACTGATTTAGTTGCCGCCTTAGCTCTTCTTCGTACAGTAGTTGGGTTGAGTGCTATTTGCTTCTAGGCAACCTGTTGAATGTAGCCTTTTCGCTGATGGCCTGTTGAACCCCATATGTCCACCAGTTGGTCGTTTCTGACTAACAGATGGTACTCTAAAACGTTTTAAATCACGATATTCTACAGAAGTCGTAAATTATTCACTTTAAGATGCTTTCACTTGGTCAGCCGTCCTCCCGGGATCTGTTCATGCCATCTGGCGATGTTGCTTTTAGTTTTCTTATTCAATATGATTATGTTTCCAACTTGATTGTTTAATTCCTTCAGGCGCCAGGTCTTTGCGTGATGCTCCATTGTTTACAGCTGAGGGTTCTAACAACAATGGGAATGTTTCCCACTTGATTGTTGAATTCCTTCAGGCGCCAGGTCTTTGCATGATACTCCATTGTTTACAGCTGAGGGTTCTAACAACAGTGGGATGATCGCTTGATGGCTCTCCTCCACCCTTAACTTCAACATCCACTAGAGAGCGTCGTCAGACGATACCATCCATTTTCAGTCATCGACTTTTGCGCACAAGCCTACGTATATGTATGTATTCGAAGATGTTCATAACACTATTCTCTGCACATAGCACAACAATTTCATGCCGTTTTTATTAAGATTACTAGTGCTGATCTTCCCAAATACGCCTTTCCACTTTTCTGTCTGGTCTAACATATGCACTGATGTCGCTCGTCAGTGATGGATTCCGCGCAGTCGACACCCTCAGTGGAAATGCTCCCTTCCACAGACGTTCTGAACTGCATAGCCTTGGCGCTTTGTTGACAAGAGTCCAACATGTCCAATTATTATCTTGTGACCTTATCGACTAGCTCTCGCTCTTTCCCTCTAAGTGAGATGTTAGAATTTTTCGCTGTGAGCTGGACCTGTCCAGATCGTTTCTTTTGAACCTTATTTCACGTGCCATAATGGCATCGTGCTGTCTGCTTCCTTTCATAGCGGTTAACTACAATGCTGCTGACTGATGTCTAGATCACTGTACAAATCTTCGGCAGTCGTCGCTGAGCTGCGCCCTCCACCGCTGGATGGTGTGAAGCAGGTTCTGGTTGCGAACCTTTCGCAGATGTGTCAGTTCACCAACTGCCTTTTCGGCCCTTGCTAACCCCGGCGACGACCGAACTGGTATAGCGTTGGATAGCGTCTATAACATAAGAAGCAAGTGGCTAAGCTTTACGGGAAACCTGCTCCTCTCTCATTCAAGCTTAGGCCGGTGACGACCGAGTTCAAGGAAGTGTTCACTATCGAAAAATTGCTTGTAATTTCATACCTCAGTGAAATCGATGGTGTAAGGCGAGAGAACATCTGTTGTGTTCAGAGATCAAGAACCACATGTTCGCAGCTTCACGGCGCAATTTTCGACATAGGTAAGGACTAGATTTCAGATCATGCTTGGAATGATTCTCTGTTAAACTAACTCAGCTTAAGCCGTATGTCTTAGCCATCGAGTTTTTGATGTGGAAATCAAAACGCTATGTGCAAGCACCAAGAAACTAGTCCTATTTCCACCGGTATGCACGGCGTTATTGCTTTCCCTTAGACCTAGAAGCCTAAATGGACACTTACACAAGTCATGAGTGAGAACCGTCTCTATTCCATTAATGAAAACTACAGCAAAATTAGAACTGTAGATTTTTTCCAGATAGCCCAGTTCTTGTTCTTTCAAATAGCGCGAACGATTCTGTATTATTTTCTTTTTTTACACAGTCCAAGAGATTTTCTCCGAATCTTATTTCCATCTTGCTAATTAGTCGTCATCCTTTTTCCAGAGTAGGTTTCATGTTTTCTTAAAGGATTTTGCTAAACTTTTTTATGTGGCTGCGAAGCACATAGGAATACGGAATCTGAAATGTCACTGGGAAAAAGCAAAGTATGGCTTCACAAGGTGCTTCTTTCTTCTGTAGATACTAAGTTGGTGTGGATCTGCGA